CCTGGCTGTAGAGCTCCCATTGGGCGCATAGCTTTATTAACGGCGCATAGATCTTGTAAAAGGCGCCATTTGCCTGATTTTTTCTTTATAACAAAAATAGGAGTATTCCATGGTGAAGTAGAGGGCTCTATATGGCCTGCCACCAGCTGTTCCTGTACTAACATGGAGGCAGCCTCCAATTTTTCTTGGGTAAGGGGCCACTGATCCACCCACACAGGCGTTTGGGATTCCCAAATGATTTTATCTGCATGGGGCACAGGAGGGTCAGGGGCCGATACTAAAAATCCGAATACCCAAGCCCATGTTTATCTGTTTTTTGGGTAGCTTGGATGGGCTCAATGATTCCTTCTCCTGATTTCCCAAGACCCGTACCAGGGACAAAATCCATACGGAGCATTTGATGTGTAACCACAGAATTGGGACTAGCAAGGATAACTTTCATCTGGGTCCAGATATCCCGACCCCATAGGTTAACAGGGAGGTCAGGAACAACAAAAGGAGTAACAGTTCCCTTATTGCCCTCTTTGTCAGTCCAATTAAGAACCCTGGAGCTTACCAAAGGGTTTTTTGACTGCCCTATGCCTTTAAGGTCAGTTAGGGACGGGGTAAGGGACCAACTTGGTGGCCAATATTTTTGGGAAATAATTGTGGCATCTGCACCAGTATCCAAAATTCCCTGAAACTCCTTTCCTTCAATTCGCAGGGTGAGGGTGGGTCTTTTTTGAGTGATAGGCTGAACCCAATACGCATCAGAAGACCCCAAAGAAGCAGTTCCTCGCGGTGTAGTCTGAGCAGTGAAAGAACCCCCTGAATTTAATGGGAGCAGTACCAATTGTGCAAGCCTAGTTCCAGCTGGAATAGCTGCAATCCCATTAATGGCCGTGGCCAAAATTTTTATTTCTCCTGTATAATCATTATCAATAATACCAGGAAAAACTTGGACACCTTGTAAGGTAGCAGAGGCTCTTCCAAGAATAAGGGCACACATATGAGACGGAGGGGGTCCCAGGGTCCCAGTGGATATTATTTGAGGTCCTTGTATAGAGTCTAGTACTGTGTCGGTGGCGGCACAGAGGTCCAGTCCTGCACTGCCTGGGGTTGCCCGCTGGAGGGAGGCAATTGTGGAGAGAGGTGGGGGGCTTGTGTAGGACTGGGAGTTTGGGAGGGGACAAACCCTATCACCCCTGGGCTTGTCTTGGGGATGGTCAGGGCCAGGGGTTGGCCCCAAGGGAAGTTTCCCGAAAAACGAGAAAAAATGGGCTGTCCAAGGGCATTTGTTTTGGATCTACATTCGTTGGCCCAATGACGGCCCTTACCACATTTGGGACAAAAAAGTGGCAGGGAGTGCCCAAGAAGCCTTTCCGCAGTCAAGTTAAGCCACGAGACAAAGTCACTGTAGGGTTCCTCTGGCCCCTGTCTAATCTTTGCCAGGGAAGTAGTAGCCGATCCCTTTTGAGGGAGACGCTTCCAAGCATAAAGGCTAGCGTTTTGAATTTGTGCCAAAAGTCCGGTAGGAGGTAGGAAAGTGCGCCTGTTTAGCATTGGTATCAAAGGGCGCATTACCCAAAAGTTTAGTATAGGTCCAGGTTTTTGAAGATGTTTTAGCCAAATTTTTTTGCGCGGTCTCTCTACATTGTTCCTTAAAGTCCGCATTCCATAAAACAAAATCACCCCCACTAAGGGTGGCACGGGCCAGGAACTTCCAATCATTAGGGGTGAGCCAGCGCGCACTTTGGTTTTCTAACAAGGCTAATGTATAAGGGGCAGTCGAGCCATATTGGGCACATGCATTTTTAAGCTTTTCAACAAACCAGAGGCTAAGCCTCTTATACTCTTGTTGGCCTTTTCCCTGGGTGGGTTGTTCCTCTTCATCCCCAGTATCCTGCTCTTCATCCTCCTTTTCCTCCTCTTCTGATTCGTCCTCCTCACCCTCTGAGGTCCTATCTGTCTGGCTCCGAGTTACTGGAAAGGCAAGAACTGATTGATGGCCTGATCTAACCTTAATTTTATCAGGCGTTTTTGGCGTATCGGCCAAGGCCAGTATGCGGAGTTCATAATCAAGGGACCGCAGTTCTTTTAAAAGTTGAAGGTGTTCTCGCCTATGTTGAAGAGTCTCGCGTAAAGGTGCCAGGTTAGGTAAAGGGGGGGGGAGAAAAAACATCTGGATCAGGAGGGGCAGTGGGCCCTTGAAGGGCCGGCCACAAAAGGAAGGGATTTTCAGTAAATTGACCAGCAGTTATATCTAATACAACTGATGGGCAAGCCGCGGGGGGGGGGGGGGGGGAGGGGGGGGGGTGGCGGGGGGGGGGGGGGTGAGAGGCATTTTGGAGAACCTCCTCTCCTGTTTTTACAAGTTTTAAAATTCCACTATCAAATAGAGAACATTTTAAAACTTCATTAATCAAATTCCAATAGGAAAAGGCCATAGCAGGAACCTTTTCTGAACCAAAGATTTCATAATAATCTTTTAAGCAATCTCCTACTCTTTGCCATCTTTTTGCATCTATGATTCCTACAAGTCCTCTATGAATGAGAAAAATAATTCTAAATCCTTTTTCTTAACCCGCGTTCCTCGTGTCTTGAAGGCCTCCCTGAGGTCTGACAGAAATAGATCATGTGACGATATTGCTTGTCCCATAGTGGGTCACTCACCATGCGCCGTCCCCACTCTCCTCCTGGATCTGTCTCTCGGTAGGGTCTGTCGAGGCGATCTCGCGATCTCGGACTGTACTTGGCCAAGTTTTCCCGGAGGACGGCGTTCCTTCCTCAGTCAGAGGCTCGTGCCCCACGTTGGGCGCCAGTTGTCCCGACCCGCAGGACTTCAACCAGGGCAGTGAACCTAAGCGAGAAGGAATGAAGGGACAAGAGACACGAAGAAGGACAGCAAGACAAGGATTCTGACCAAGCTGCCAATTTTTATTTTTCACACAAGGGTATTTATATGCTTGGACTTAGGGCGTGGTGAAAAGGTGGTCGTTAAGTAGATTTAGGGCAGGGTGAAATGGTGGTCGTTAGTAGCTGCAGGGTGTTTACTTTAAGGCGTGGTGAAAAGGTGGGATTCTGTAAACTCAGGCTCAGGTTGTTCCAGTGAGATAGTTAAGCCTATCAAGTTTGAGAGACTTAACTTTTGGCTCCCAACAGGCTACTGTGGAATTGAGTAAAGTCTGGAGACACCATGATGGAGGCCAAGCTAGAAAAAATATAGATAGATAGATATAGATATAGATAGATAGATAGATAGATATGGTACCGTCCTGGGGTTTGAACTCAGGGCTTTGGCGCTATCCTGAGCTTCTTTTACTCAAGGCTAGCATTCTGCCACTGGCTAGCATTCTACTTCTGGCTTTTTTGGGTAGTTTTTTTTGAGACAAGACTCTGATGTTCTAGAGTGTGTGTGGGGTGGGGGATGGTAGCAGTTCTGTTCTCCTCCCTAGGCTGGGAGCCGGCACCCCACTTGTCATTAGACTTGGCTCTTACAGGTGTCTAGGCCCCAGTGTGGCTGATAATTACCTGCACCAGGAGATTGTAGAAAAGTGGGGTTGAGATGAGGAGAGAGACATTAGGGAAAGAGTGGACTTTTGTCATTCATTGACATAGGAAAGGGTGCACTGTTGGGAGCCAAAAGTTAAGTCTTTCAAACTTGATAGGCTTAACTATCTCACTGGAACAACCTGAGCCTGAGTTTACAGAATCCCACCTTTTCACCACGCCTTAAAGTAAACACCCTGCAGCTACTAAAGACCACCTTTTCACCCCGCCCTAAATCTACTAATGACCACCTTTGCACCATGCCCTAAGTCCAAGCATATAAATACCCTTGTGTGAAAAATAAAAATTGGCAGCTTGATCAGAATCCTTGTCTTGCTGTCCTTCTTCGTGTCTCTTGTCCCTTCATTCCTTCTCGCTTAGGTTCATTGCCCTGGTTGAAGTCCTGCGGGTCGGGACAGTGCACTGTGAAGTATACAGTCCACTCATTCAGAAAGGATAATGAGCAGCTGCTAGAATGAAGAGTAGAGAACCCTCCTCTCCCATCTCAGGCTAGGAGTGTTGGTACATGTCTGTAATCTCAGCTACTCAGGAAGTATAGATGGGGAGGACCGCAGTTTGAAATTAGACTGGGCAAAAAGTTAGTGAGACCACATTTTTTATTTTATTTTATTTTATTTTTTTTGCGTCCGGTTGTGGGGCCTGAACTCTGGGCCTGGGCGCTGTCCCTCAGCTCTTCAGCTCAAGGCTAGCGCTCTACCACTTGAGCCACAGCGCCACTTCCGGCTTTTTTCTTTTTGCTTATGTGGTGCTGAGGAATCGAACCCAGGGCCTCAAGCATGCAAGGCAAGCGCTCTACCACTGAGCCACCTTCCCAGCCCCAGTGAGACCACATTTTAACAAGCAAGCTGGGCATGGAGGTATGCATCTGCAATCCCAGTTACGGGGGAGGTGTAAAGATTGAGATCTGAGACCTCAAAACAGGAGATTACCTGAAATTTAACTAAAGCAACAACAAAAAAGTTGTGGGTGTGGCTCAAGGAGAGAGAGACAGAGACAGAGACAGAGACACACAGAGAGACAGAGAGACAGAGAGAGAGACAGAGACAGAGACACACAGAGAGAGACACAGAGAGAGAGAGAGGCAGAGAGAGAGAGAGAGAGAGAAAGAGAGATCCATCTCAGCCTTCCCAGGAACCATGCTCAGAAAGGGGCTTCCCAGTGGCAGAGAGGAGGAGTGGGGAAGGAGAGGGCCACCTAGCTTCTCTGGAATCATAGTAGCTGTGGCTATGGTTTTGGGTCTTTTCTCTGAACTCGGCCTTTGCTATTTGCAGAATGATTTTCATTCATTATGTCCTTTAATCCATAGGAAGGATGATAGGTGTTATCACCCTCGTTTCACAGACAAGAGAGTTGGAAAGGTGAGGGTCACCTCACTAGTAATGCTGCAGGCTCTGCGTTTCCTGGGGCCGCGTTGCAAAGAGGCTTCCCTAGGCATGCGGATGGAAACCTACCTGCAAGCCTGCAGTTCGATTCCGCTGGAGCGGGATCCAAGGAGGCGCTGCTCAGTCATGGCCACCAGGGGGCAGCCGAGGCACGCCGTGGCGGGGCTGCCTGACCCCAGCTGACTGCGGATTCCGGGCGGTTGTCCTGAATCAAAACCTGAACCTCCAGTAGCCAGGAATAGCAAGGGGCTGTCCCTCACGTGGGTTCGCGCCATCCTAGGGTTTCGAAAGTCCCTCACGTCATCCCTGTCGATTCCTAAGGCTGCTCATAGAGCACTTTTTCCAGCTTCCTCCCAACAGGTCTGCTTCGGGTCCTACAGAGCTCAGACCCACGTGCTTCCTGCTCATAGGGAGTTAAAGGCTGGGCTGGGCACTGGGGTCACAGATATTAAAAACAAAAACCAAAACCCCACTCACTCTGGTCAGAAAACCAAGCCTTGCCCCTCAGGAAGGGACTGCCCCTAAATACATCACAAGGCGTAAGGTACAACCCTGGATTGTAAAGTAGCCCCTGGCTCAGAGTGGCCTAAGTTTGGATGTGCATCTGCCTGTGTGTAGAGGTAGAGGCTGAGAATTCAGGCCTGGAAGAGGGTCAGGTAGAGGGCTCAGGTTGGAAAACATCACAGGATGGGAACAGGTGAAACTTGGAGTATCTTTTGGGGGGGGGTGTTGAGTGGTCAGTTGTGGGGCTTGAACTCTGGGCCTGGGCGCTGTCCCTCAGCTCTTCAGCTCAAGGCGAGCTCTCTGCCACTTCAGCCACAGTGCCCTTCCGGTTTTCTGGTGGTTAATTGGAGATAAGAGTCTCATGGATGTTCCTGCCTGGGTTGGCTTTGAACCGCGATCCTTAGATCTCAGCCTCCTGAGTAGCTAGGATTATAGGTGTGAGCCACCTGCACCTGCACGGGCTTGCTCCAGCATTTGACATGCACCTGGCTGGAGGAGGTAGGTGCTGATGATCTAAATTCATTTCTTAGCTGAAAACCCATGTGATCTTAGAAGCTCTGTCTTCCTCCAAGCCTGGCTCCCAAGGGAGTGAGGTTTGAGGGCAGTTGGGGGTACTGAGCTGCTGCGGAAGCTGTAGTCTAGTGGCTTTTGAGTGTGCCCATTCCTCAGTAGGGCATGATGGACACAGGTGGGTCCCCTCACCCCACTGGACAGCTAGGAGGCTGCCTGTGTCATGTGGATACCTCAACATTCCCTATCTTTAATTTTGTTCCGAAGCTGCTTCCCTCTAGGCAAGCTAATCCCAGAGAATGGTTTGACTCTGTCCACAAGCTTTATTCTAGCAGCCTGGCCCAGGGCATGGAAGCAAGGAGGGTAGCAGCTTTGGGCTTACTTGCCCTTGACCTCTCCTTTTTTCTTAAAAGTCCACATGCTTTTCAGGCATGGTGGCTCTCACCTGTTACCCTAACTACTCAGGAGGTAAAGATCAGGAGGATCAGAGTTCCAGGCTACTCAAGGCAAAAAGTTTTCAGACCCTATAAATTCTGGGTACAGTGGTTCGTACCTGCCATCCCAGCTATGCAGGTATCAATAGAAAAATCTCAGTCCAACCTGCGAAAGTGATGGAACACCTGTTGAGCAAGACTAATGCCCTGGGGGCTGGGAAGGTGGCTCAGTGGTAGAGCGCTTGTCTTGCATGCCTGAGGCGCTGGGTTCGATTCCTCAGCACCACATAAGCAAAAAGAAAAAAGCCGGAAGTGGCGCTGTGGCTCAGGTGGTAGAGCGCTAGCCTTGAGCTGAAGAGCTGAGGGACAGTGCCCAGGCCCAGAGTTCAGGCCCCACGACCGGACCCCCCCCCCAAAAAAAAAAAAGACTAATGCCCTGAGTTCAAATCCCAGTGTTAAAACAACAACAACAACAACAAAAAACCTTCGGGAGTAGGGGGTGAGGCACAGAAATGGAGGGACAAAGAGTGAACAAATGCAGCAGTGATGCTCACTGCACACTGAGTTTAAAATGAATGATACAACTATACAACAGGAAGGAAAAACTGGTAGAGAGCAAAGGAGAGTGACATTGTCCAAAAAGAAGGATACTATTTACCTGACTTATGTAACTATAACTCCTCTGTACGTCACCTTTATAATAACAATAAAACAGTTTAAAAAACCTTCCAAAAATCTGTGTGTATTGGCTTTCTCTATTTTAGAGTCCTGGCAAATTTTAACCTAAAAACAATTACTTAATGCCTTCCAGTTCTATACAAAGTGACAGGTTTGTTTTGGCAATTTTAAGATGCTATCAATTACAAGAAGAATCCCTGATTGAATGACATTTATTAATTTTAGTTATAGGAGCAAGAAACATGGCCACATTAAACATTGATTTTTGACTAAAATTTTTGGCTAAATCTAGAGGCATGTAGGTTTTAGAAATGCTAAAAATATGAAAAAAATTGCACATCTTAGAGCAAGGAAAATTCTTGTTGGTAATTTTCATCCTTTAACAAAACTTGGGATTAAAATTGGGTATCTCAGAAGACATGTGATGTTTGTCCTTGGCTTTGTGTCCACCTTATGCAGCAGTGAAGGGTACAGGGTGAAGTCATGCTTGTTATGAGCTGGCTCTGTATTTTTCCAGAAAGAATTCTTTCTGGTCACTCAAAAATGTTCAGTGGCTTAGTAGTAGAGTAATTGCCTAGCATGCATGAAGCCCTCCAATGGATTCCTCAGTACCACATAAACAGAAAAAGCTGGAAGTGGCACTGTGGCTCAAGTGGTAGAGTGCTAGCCTTGAGCAAAAGAAGCTCAGGGACAGTGCCCAGGCCCTGAATTCAAGACCCAGGACTGGCCAAAAAAAAAAAAAAAAAAGTTTAGGGACTTGAATTCTAGTTAATGGAAATACTCTGGTTAATTAAGAGGACCAAGGAACAGTGATTCATGCCTGTAATCCCAGCTACCAGGAGATGGAAATTGGGAGAATGGAGATTTAAGGCCAGCAGGGCAAAAACGTTAGTGAGACCTCATCCCATCCAATAAGTAGGGCATGGTGATGTGTGTCTGTCCCAGAGCTCTGTGAGAAACATAAATAGGAGGATTGAGGCCCAAGGTGGCTTCTAGGAAAAAAAACCCTCAAGATCCTTGGTGAAAAATAACTAACTCATATTCAGAAAATAAGGAAAGCCAAGGGACCTGTAGTGTGGCTACATTGGTGGAGTTCCTGCCTACCAAAGCAAGTCCCTGAGTTCAAATCTCAGTACCAGCTGAAAGGTGGGGGTGGGGGCTTCTCAATACAATGGAAAATTGGAAAATTTGGAAGTGTGCATCTTCCTCAAATAGACTCTCATCCCAAGGTTGAGTGGCTCCCTGGGGTTGAGTGGCTCCCTGGGGTTGAGTGGCTCCCTGGGGTTGAGTGGCTCCCTGGGGTTGAGTGGCTCCCTGGCGTGGACCTGTCTCTCTGCCTTGGCGCTGTCTCTAGAACACGAATAGCTTCTCTCGTCACTGCTGGGCAGTCATGGTGGTCCCCCGGCCCTGTCAGTGACTCCGGTGTTTCCAGAACTGGACATGAGAGACAGGAGAGATGGAGCTGAACAAGACGCGATGCCATGGGTGTGTTCAGTTTTCTTGCCAGCTACTTTGTCACCTGTCACCTCATTTACTCCAACACTGGAACTATGATTGCCATCCTTCTTCTTAGGGGACCAAGGAAGAACTTTTGTCTCTGACCTATTGAGGGATTTCCTGGCACTACATGGCTGAGGTGGCTCCTGGTCTTAGTACCAGGCCGCGGCACCGGGCCTCCTTCTGTGGCTTCTTGCGTGTAGAACCAGCTAGTAACTGGTTTTGTTTGTTTGTTTTTGCCAATAAAGTCAGGCTGATTTTCAACACCCAACTAACTCCAAGACCTTGAAGAGAGAGGACGGAGAGGTCCTTGCAGTTGAAGTAGGAAAGAGTCTAGGATAAAACCTAATTCATCAATAATTATAGTTTTAGAAGTTGAGCTGTGGCTCAAGTAGTAGAGTGGTAGCCTTGAGCTTAAAAAAGCCAAGTGAGAGTACAAGGCCTTGAGTTCAAACCCTAGTACTAGACTAACCCCCTCATGAAAAAGAAAAAAAATCAGGAAGTGTTTATATACCTTTTTCTTTCTGTATCAGGATTTGAACTCACAGCCACATGCTCACTCTACATGTTTGCCCAGCTTGGCCCTCTATACATTTCATACATACCTTCAGCTTGGCCTTTTTTATTGTTGTTGGTAGTGGTCCTGGGGCTTGAAGTCAGGGCCTAGGTGCTATCCCTGAGCTCTTTTGTTCAAGGCCAGCATTCTACCACTTTGAGCCATAGTACCACTTCCGGTTTTCTGGTGGTTAATTGGAGATAAGAGTCTCATGGACTTTCCTGCCCAGGGCCAGCTTTGAATCATGATCCTCAGGTCTCAGCCTCCTGAGTAGCTAGGATTATAGGCATGAGCCACCAGTGCCCAGCCCAGCTTGGCTTTTTGCTGGTTATTTTGGAGATGGAGTCTCACAAATTTCCTGCCTGGGCTGGCTTTGAACCTCAGTCCTCCAGATCTCAACCTCCTGCATAGCTAGAATTATAGGCATGAGTCACCAACAAGCTTACTTACCTTGTTTGACACATGGGTTATTAGGCAGCATGGAGTACAGGAGGGAATTTCCTTAATTACAGTTAAGTAGGAGGAAAACCTATTTAAATGCATCCCCCCTCCTTTTATTATTGTTATTTTTTTTTGCCAGTACTGAGACTTGAACTCAGGGCCTGGACTCTGTACCTTAGTGTTTTTGCTCAAGGCTGGCACTTTGGTGTTTTGGTGCTTAGTTGGAGATAATAGTTTCACCGACTTTTCTGTCTGGGCTAGCTTTGAACTGTGCTCCTCTGTGTCTTGATTGGCTAGGATTGTGCGTGTGACCCACAGAGCCTTGCAATGCTTGCCTTTAAAAATGGTCTGTTTAAGCCCCAACTATGTGCTCAGCATTGACAAATAAATGCTGTGGGGAAATGAATAGGTTTGGTGTCCTCATGCTTGTCTGCAAACCTCTGCAAAGATGGACCCTGCTGACCACGTGTCCACATAGGGTCGTCTGGGCTGCCCTTGAGGTCCTGCTGGCTGGTGGGGTTGAATGGCAGATGGCTGTGGTGCTGTGGACTCACATAGCACTGGGCATGGAGTGCAATGAACCCCCTGCTAGTGTGGAGACAGGAAGCTTGGGGGTGGGGATCTGGGGGGGAACACACTGAGGAGGTGACATTCA